AAATTATTTCTACGTCTGACAAAAGAGTAATGATAAAATAAAACAATTTATTTACAATCAATAATATATATATTATTATTCCTCTTCAAAATATACAATTTTTTTTTTTTAAATAATTTTGCTTCTTGCTAAATATATTTTAATTAAAATCTACGCTCACTTAATTGAATTCAAATTAAAAGTGTAATCTATTATATAAAAAAGTTCATTAATATTACACACGATTGAAAATTGAAACACATCGAATCCAGTATTGACATCGAGTTTTTTCAACTTTACATCGTATTTCGAATGCAAAAAAAAAAAAAAAAAAAAGAAAAAAAAACAAAGAGGGGGTAGAAGTCGGAGCAGAAGTTGTATAGACACGCGATGCGTACTTATATGTATGCATACTATAAAGCAGCTACTGACATAATATAAACGTGGCGTGGCCACGATGGAGCAACGCGTTCTGCCAATCTCCTTCACGGTCGTTAGCGCACCTGCCCGCACGTGCACGCACGCGCACTGGCCCGTGTAATATATTTCCCTGCGTGCTTGTGCACCCAACCACCACCAATACTAGTACTACCACCTATATACCCAAAGGCTCGACGAACTCTTATATATATATATATATATATATATATATATATGCATACACACAAACGCTTTTACAGAGTGCATCGGACGCAACCCACGCTGCGGCCGTCAGGACGATCGATAACCAGGACCTTCGAGTTATAGCGCGACTTTCGAAACAAAACTGACCTCTCGATGTATTTTTTTTACTATTTTTTTTTTACCACGTAAAATAATTACGACGATCCTAATTTTTTTTTACCGTTAAGTTTAAAATAAATTTGCACTATTTAGCATTTGTACGTGTAGAACAAATTTTGTGTTTCTTTTTGTTTTTTTAATAATATACGAAATTTGGATAAATACCTCGTTGAGATTGCAGATGTTTTATGAGATGAAAAAACAAAAAAAGAAGAAAAATTTACGATATATTTCTTAAAAATTTGATACACACAACGTGTTTCTATTTTCATAGTTAGATTAAATATACCGTGAATTGCGCATGCCTACGTCCGATGAGAAAACTTTGTTGTTATTCTTTGTAAAGGAAATATTGCAGGAAAAATCGATCAGTCACATATTTGTTCCGATCGGAGTAACATCAAAACTATTCCACATACGAGATTTTTCCCTTTTGAGGACTAAAATCTAACCTAAATATATTATTATTAATAAACGAAAATAAATAATTATCTACTTCCTAATAATTTAAACGTATTCGAAAAACTACGGATGAACATATACGAATGGAAATTCGCGGGAACGTTTGTAATACCCTCAATGCACTAGGTAGGATAAGTTAAAATTTTTTGTTGATAAAAAATTTTGCTGAGAACTGGAATCGACGTACGTATAGGATAACTAATAGCATGTCTACGAGTTCTCTCTCACTTCGGTTAACATGCAACGTCGAGAAACTTCAACAAATTTTGTGAGGAAATTTGGTTCAGCTATCCGGCAGATCGAGAATTTCCTCTCGTACGTGGATTATCCGTAGGTACTTATCACGTTAAAGCGCTTATCTGAAAATTCGTGATGAATTTCGTCGTTGATTACGTTGTCAGGAGTACAGGCTTAACAAGCAACGGTTGGTATTAAACTTTCAAGATGACAAACCGCTGCTACGACACCTGAATAAATGAGAGCCTTCGAATTTGGATTGGACTTCGAGAAAGCTTTTACGAATCCTTGGAAGAGATATAAGTCTATATTTATGCAACAAACACGTGTACGCACGCATACACATTTAAGCATAGATCTTCTATCATCAACGGGCTCGAACGTTTTATCGAAGTCGAAACTTTCTTATACGCTTTTAATCTCTTCGTTCGCGTATGAAAAACAATGACACAACATTGATTTATCACGATACTGATGAACATTCGTGTATTTTTTCTTTTATTTTTTCTAATGAAATTTCTTTTGGCAGGATACCGAATTTTTCAAATTTTGAGAGAAGCGTGTTATTTGTGTGGTAAAACTTATTATCATCTGCAACGCTAATATCTTTCAATTATTGTTCGCTGACATTAGTGTATCGCGCATACAATATTAAAATTAGTTGAATTTTTAATTGTGTAAATTTTTACTATTGAAATTATTTAAATGTGCAGAAAAAAATAATTAATAATCTAATAACTCAATAGAGTTGCCAACATAAAAAAACTTAAGAAGTTTCACTAGACTCGTGTGTGGGTTCCACATGCTTTTATTTTCTACACATAAAAATAGAATATAATATGTCACACATGTGACGAGAAAGATAATTAAAATTTTTCAATTCGGTTCCGTTCAATTCGTCGGATTATATCGAGGATTTAACTGAAAGAACGATAGTACAATAAAATTGGTGAAAATCCTGAACAAATATAATGATTTTAGCACCAATTTGTTCCATCGAACTTTATTTAATTGCTATTTTTGTAAAATGGTATCGAAATTCTTTCATAATAAAAATAAAAAAGGGAAAAATCGTAGTCAGATTTTTGGAATATCTTTGGATCAAATGCAGCAATTTTGTAGAGAAGCTTTTTTTATTGAAATGAAAATGAGTTCGAATCGTTTTTAGTATAATTTTCTACGAATCTTAGATAGAAAAAGAAAGAAAAAAAGAAAAAAGAAAAGAAAAGTAGTTAATACTTTCTCGAGAACCGAAAGAGCTTTTCGTTGATATATTTGTGGCCGTAGTAGAAGCTTTAAAACTGGAAGACACCGAGAACCGAATGAACGCTTTATTTTATCTCAAATTACTGTCTAGAGTTTAAGGAGGTCATGGGAAGAGACGATTAAAAGTTTAAGCTGAAATAACGCCGTCACTGTCACTTGGACAAACCGGATTCTTCGAAAAGGAGAAAGTTTTTCTTTAGCCGAGGTAACACGAGTTTTTAAAGGAAACTTTTACCGAATGATTTAAAAAGACTTCATCGGCATACTTTTTTAAGCAGACGACCTTTTTTTAATTCATCTTACTGATTTACTTTGAAATTCAACGACGATTTTTTGCTTATGTTGTTTCGTTTGTCTGATATTAGAAAATTTTACACGCAAGTTCGTGTTAATGATCGTTGGATTCGACAAAAATATTCGTGGAATAATTTTGTTCTTAGGCAAATATATATAATATATCTGATACGTAGGTATATGTTTTGCTTTAAATAACTCATTTAAAAAATAAAGTAACACGAGAAAAGCTACTGCGAACGAGAGAAATGAACGTAAAAAATAATTACACGTCGAGTATAAAATTTATACTCGAATCAGAGCAACGATTCGTACAGAGAAATTTAATTTTCAGGTGCGAAGGAAATTCTTTCTACTTTTCGATTCTCTCTATTGGTGTCGAGCTTACAAGTGAATACGTGGCTGGACGTTGCTATCGTTTTCCGACACGAACCTATAGTCTCGCGATTCTCGCCAGCCATATGGTGCGCTTGTTTTTGGTGATTAACGGTTCTGACATCTGTGACGGATCATAAAACAATCAATAAGTTCGCGTCCGGTTGATAGCTCAACGGGATGTTTCGACGAAAAAACTCATTATGTCGAACCATTGACCGAAATAATATATTTTCGATTAAATTTTTCGACAAAAAGAAAGAGAAAAAAGTATTGAAAGATTATAATTTTGTATTTAATAAACTAATAAGAAAGAAAAAAAATCGAAATTTTCATTGTATCCTCGATAGATGTAATTTGATTCTAGTTTAATATTTTAATTTTTGTTTAGATTAAAGGGGTTGTATAGAAAAAATATAAGATCTTGAGTATACTGATGAAAAATCCGGTATAAGGATCGGTACTTTTTTGGTCGTTGCTAAAACATAACGAGATACTCGAGTAGTTCCTAAATCACTCTAAATCACTAATTTATACTCTTCTAGTAAGAGAATTTTAATCCGGATTCGTGGAAATCGTAATCGCCGTGGTCAGATACTTCCCACCCTCTGTAGTCGTAGCCCTTTTTCAGTCTCTTTCGAACCACCCACAACGTTCGCTTTATTCGTTCGATGAATTCTCCGGTTGGAAGGCCAAAGCCAGGGAAGAAGGGAGAATGATAGAGAGATAGAAAAAGATAGATAAATAAATTTAAATCGTACGGGAATCCGATCGGATTTCACGTTTTCACGAACGCACAACGACCAGGCTACGTTGTTGGTAACGCGCATGCGCATAAAATAAATGCCCGGAGAACGTTCGTAGAAAGGGGTTGGAGGGAGACATGGGAAAAAGTTAGGAGAGAAGGGCTCGCATCCGGATTTCATCACCATCGATGCTCGACCGGCACTGGCAACGTTCCTTTACCTCGACGTTTCGCATTTCCGGAATTTCGTGGTCCGTATAAATTAATCCTCACGATTTACCCTCCGTTTGCTTTTGTTTTTATCTATTTCTTGCTTTCTTTTCGGTACCAGGATTTCCACAAGCGGCTCTCACAGATCAAGGAACTCTCGTTGAACCTTTCTTTATTTCCTTCTTCTTTCTCTCGTTTCTCTCTCTCTCTCTCTCTCTCTCTCTCTCTCTCTCTCTCTCTCTCTCTCTTTCTCTCTCTTATCGATTTTGACTCGATCGATCCGGAACGAATCTCATTCTTTATTTACGAACAATCGGGGCAAATTTTTTGTCACCTAAAACAAAAACTTGAACGGTTCGAGAATGATATAGCACCCTTACGGTTTTTTCTCTTGCAACTTTGATTCCGTGCGTTTTGAAAAATTACAAAAATATACTGTAAACCTCTTTTCCTTCACTTTCCTCTCTCTCTCTCTCTCTCTCTCTCTCTCTCTCTCTCTCTCTCTCTCTCTCCTTCTGTTTCGCAATATTCATTCGTGGCTCACGGATCTGATCATTTTTTAAATATTTAAGGAATTCTTGACTCGTCTTTTAATAAATATTTAAAAACATTTTAAAAGAGAGAGACTCAATCGTGATTTTCTTTTCAGTTGTCGAGGATGACTTACCTACGCAACAGGCGAATCAAGAGAACAATTTCGAAGATAACTTTACTCGCAACGGTGGTAAGATATAAATATAATACTTTATTAAAAAATTAAATTAAAATTCTTATTTTTTGTAAACAAGTTACAGTTATCAGATTTTAATTTTTACACTTTCTTTAACATTGAAGAAGAAGAAGAAGAAGAAGATGAAGAAGAAGAAAATGATGACCATGAAGATGTCGTAACAGAAGAAACGGATTTCAAATTAAACGAATTCGTGCAAAGGTATAGTATGATATGATAAGAGTTCGATTTTAATGAAAAAATATTGTATTTAAAAACAAATGAAAATGGATTCTACTAATTAGAAACATCGAATGATTAATTGTCTTAGATTCGCAAATATAAAGATAGTTAAAGCGCTTAACCTTCTTCTACAACAATTTGATAAGAATACTAAGGAGGTCAATCATTACGTCACGAAGATGTTGCATAGAATTGCATTCGAATGTAAAATGCCGGCTATGATATTTCAAGCATCGATATTTCGAACTTTTCAAAAGATCCTCGAATCAAAGCATCCCGAACACAAGGTATTTAATTATATATTTCTTTAATACATATATATTTTCAATAATTTTTTTAAGATTTTTCCCGCATATAATATAAAGCCATGTTAAATCGATTAAAAGAAGAAGAAGAAAAAGAAAGATTACAAATCGTTCCTTCTTGATAACATAGAAATGTATGCTTTAGGAGCTTCAGAAGTTTGCAATCTTCATAATTCGTCGTTTCGTCGAAGTCGCGCAGAAGAACCGGAAGTCGTATATGGAGTTACTCTTCTGGAAGAACGCACACGATGCGACGCAAATCGTCGAGGGTTACAATACTGAGACGGATAAGAAGAAAGTTTCGCGGGGTGTTTGGACTGAGGCAGAGGAGGACGAACTCCGAACCCTCTTCATGGAACATCAAACTAACAAGCCTTCGGAAGGTACATGTCCCTTTCTCTCTCTCTCTTTTCGTAAATGTATAACTGTTATTGTTCAAATGTCGACTTCAATTAATTCGTGAAAGAACTAGATAATACACTAATAATTAGGCGTTTTTAGGCAAGCATATAACAAAAATTTTATTATGCACATAAACTTGTTGCTTTATGAAATAACTAATTGAAATTTAATCCTTGTATAAAGTATGCTTTTATTTCTACAACAATGCTTGTAATTATCCGTATTTATATTTTTCCTATATTTTGAAAACCATTTTTGGCACGGTTTAAAATAACAAAGTAGAAGATATTATTTAATTCGTAAAATATTTCGTTATTACTTATCATTCGTATAATCATTGTAATCGTATACACTTACTTCGTGTGTTATTATAAATCGTATACTTCCTGCGAGGTAAGTAAAAAGTAAATAAGTTTGAAATGAAATCGTTGCACGATAACGTATCGGTATAATTAACGTAGATGTATTTGATAATTATATGATACGAGGAAACAGCATATCAACTGGCAATGAGATTTATAAAGATAATTCAAATCGTTCGTTCGTACGTTTGTTCGTTTGTAACAATATTTCATAAAAAAAAAAAATACTTAGGAGCTATAGTTATCGAATAAAATAACGTGGATTCGTTAAATATACAAAATAATTTTACGTTGCCAAGAAAATCGCAGGTTAAGATGAAATCGTCGATACGCGATCGAGATAGGAATCAAGAGAGAACATGGATTTTGATATCTTTCGAAATTAAGATTAAATTCGTTTCTCGCGATGAGGCAGAAAGGATTTTCGAGATGTGGGAATATATGATGGTAGGGGCAAGAAGGGGCAGACTGCAGAGGAACTGGTGATGAGAATTGGTACGAGCGAATCGTCTATGTGATTTATTAGATCGACGATAACAATGTCTTCGTTTCTTGGTTAACCGAATCACGTAGCTCCGCGGATGATGCAGTTATCCCCTAGCCTCTAGGCCAATTCACGGATAATATCGATCGTGTATAAATAGTTGAAACAACTTTGCCCTTGAATCAATCTCTCTACGGATTCGTAGCCAAAAAAATACGCTTTAGAAGAATTTTACAATACCGTTAACTCTTTTCTTACCAAGAGAGATTAAACCTTGAGTTTTTAATAACTACTTTATCAAACATTTAACCAATTGCTTTGCTATATTTATCATTTATATCTTGGTTATTTCGAGCTCTCCGAGAAATTTATTCCATATCTTACACGGAACATCACACATTCGTTGAAAGTAAAATATATTAATGATTTAAATTAAACAATATATATATATATAATTATTTTTAATTAAAAGATAAGAGATAAACGCATGTCGATCCAAGGAATGAATTTAAAATACGATCTTCTAACGTAATTGTACTGTTGATTTTTTTATTTCTTTTATTTTTGGGGGTTTATTTTTTCCTTTCATCTCATCGCACGTAAAGAAAAGAGAACAATTCGTATGAGTAGGTTGTTTGTGGTAAACCAGCGTCCTACAAGTTCGTCGTGTTGTCTCTCTACGTGAATGCCTGAGAAAGGGAGACAGGCATTGTTCTCTCAACTTCTAACGCAGGCCCGACATTTCGGTGTAATGAGTTGAGGAAGCATAGAGTAAAGCGAGAGAAAGGGCAAAAGGGTGGAGAATACTGGAAAGAGAAAAGGGTGTCAGTTTGACTCTCCCAGGTGACCACGCGGAAAAATTGTCGTGAGCAGGGTAAAAGTGGCAGGAAGGATCAGTGCTTTCAACTTGCCGGAATTTCCTGAAATTACCAGACGTAATTGTGGGCGTTACGATAGAAAAAAAAGCCCTTGTTATTTCTCGTTTGTTCGTTAAATCATCCTTACGCTACATTTATAAGATGGAGGAAACCATAGAAAATCATTTGGTTTCTTACTTAGCCAGATACTTTGTCCTCCATTATGTATTTTCTTTTGTTTTTCTTGTTTTTTTTTTATCTTTTTTTTTAATATCTCGTTTTTTCCTTTTTTTATCTCAAACCTCCGCACGTATCGATTAATTTTCTTTCGTCCTACCTACGTCACCACCACCTCCACCTCCACCTCCACCTCCACCTCCATTACCATTACCGTCACCGTCACCGTCTCGTCCTATCGCTTGTATTATATTCAATGTTCTTATCTCGAGTCCTATTTTCTTCGAGAATAATTGTCTTTTTCGTAATATTAATCACTCGCGCAAATCTCCCTAGAGAATCGAATATTAATGCTGCAATTCTTGACTAATGATCACTCTCTATCTCTCTCTCTTTTTTCTCTCACATACTTTTTTCTCTTATCTCTTCTTTCTTTTCTTTTTTTTTTCTTAAAACGACGGATATAATACGGATAAATAATGACAAAGAGCAAATAACAGAATTTTATTCGTCGGACATTTATCGATTCGTTGCAAGTCGTTAAAATGCTTCAAAGTGGAAATACGGATGACCCAAGCAAAAAAGTATAAGTAATGCTTTCCTTTCCTATTTTATTTCTCATATTCCACTCCATTCGTATTATTTACTCTTCATCGACGAAACGAATGAATGAACAAATAAAATACAAGATAATAAATGTTTAAATGTTTCGAAATTCTAGATTATAAAACGTGGAAGATTTATTATTTTTTGCTCTCGTATCAATGTAATCAAGCTAAGATGTAATCTCTTCTAAAGTACTACTTGATATATAAATTTAGAGAATAGGGTAGTTTTATATAATGCCTGTGCTATTGTTTTAGATCTGATTGATTGGATACTCGAGAGACTCATCAACGAGACTCGTACAAGACGTGGAGTTATTAAGAAACTGAAAGAGATGTGCTTAGTCGTCAATTCCAAGGTATGTAAGTTTATGTATGCCGTTATCGTGTATGTAGAAGCAAACTTAGAAAATATGTGCCATTTAACATCCTACTTGACATTCTACTTTAGCGATAATCCTACTTTGCCGAGTCATACATTAAAGAAACACGTTGAATTAGGCCAACACGACTTTTCCATTTCACCCTTTTGCGTTCCACAAATTCGTTTTTTGTTTTCCTCCCTCTTCACTTTTTTTTTTTTATCTTTCTTCTTTTAACTCTGCACAAACTATCGTGTAATGGTAAGAGAAGAGAAGAAAAGTAAAATAATAAAAAACAAAATAATAAAATAGTGAAAACGATTTAACGTTTATGAAAAAATCTGTAATGTTCTTTTTGTCTTATCGGATAATCAGATATCACAAAATTACTTGAATATTGCACTCTTATCACTCTCTCTCTCTCTCTCTTTCTTTGTTTTTCTTTCCAAAAGGAAGTTCCTTAATTTTCTCCTTACGTCAATCAATGAAACATCGATCGACAGGAGAAAAGGATATTTAAGTTAAGCTCAGAATACAAGGCTTGCTCCAAGAAAGATCGATCGAGGCCATAATGATAAGAGTAAAAACTGGCCAAGAGATAAATGGCCAGATAAAAAAGTATTCAGCAAAATGAAAATTAATCAATGAAAAAAACAAAAACAAAAAAAAAACAAAAAAAAAACAAAAAAAGAAAGAAAAAATAAATATATAAATAAAAACTAAGAGAGAGAAGAACATTTTTAAAGCGTTTTATCTAAAAGATTGGTTCGTGACCACGTCTCCGCAGTTGCTGCTACAAGTAGATATTCGCGATTACGGAAAAGTATTTGAACCTTTCGTTTCATCCTCTTTTCACTCTTCTACACTTTTCTTTTTTTTCTCTGATCCTCCTTTTCTTTCCTTTTTCCTTAGTAGCAAGTTGCTTGGCAAGGCGTGCGTGACAGGATCGATGATTTACGAGGATCGCGAGAAGGGCAAAAGGAGTAAGATTCGAAATAAGAAAGAGAGATAGAAAGAGAAAGAGAGAGAGAGAGAGAGTGAGAGAAAGAGGGAAAGAGGGAAAGACGGGTCGCGAAAATAAGTTTCTGGACTACCTTCGTAGACGGACTGAACATATGCAAAAAATGGAGCCCGAGAATTGCTCCAGGAACTGTAAATTCTCGGGGGAGACAATTCCTACTTGGGGTTCCGCCTTTTCTCTCTATTTCTTTCTTTCTCTCTCTCTCTCTCTTTCTTTTTCTCATACGTCTCTTTTCTTACTTCTTTCTTCACGACGATTTTCTTCCTTTCTCTCTTTCCTTTTCTCATACATCTCTTTTTTTTATTTCTTCTCTCCCTTTCTCTCTCTCTCTCTCTCTCTCTCTCTCTTTCTCTTTTCTATTCTCCTACCCCATGTTCTCCTTACTCTCAGCTCCTCTCCGCGAACGGATCAAGGTTTCCGTCGACGGGTTTCTATAGCTCGCGTATGCTGCTTTCATGCCTCTGCTTTTCCTTCAGGAAAAGTACGAAAATATCCTAGTCTTTCCTTCGTCACCACCAATACTCCATTTCCGTTAACTCCCCTTCTTCTTTTAAATTCACTATCTTTTTTTTTCTCTCTCTCTCTCTCTCTCTCTCTCTTTCTTTCTGTTTCTTTCGCTCTTTTATCTAACGGCATGAAAAGCTATCGTGTCGCGTGTTTGCCTTTTGCCCCGTGCGATACACATATAAACATTTATATCATCCTCTTGAGCTCACGAAAATAGGCGAGGGTTGAAACGAAAAGACGACGAGTGAGGTTTTACAAACGTGCGCGGAGAGAAAGAGAGAGAGAGAGAGAGGACACCCTCGCCCACCTCATTCCTCCGACTCTTCCTTCTCTCTTGCTTTAAGAATTCGAGCTAACGGATGGAACACGATCGAGAGGAAAGAGAGTGGAAAAATGTTTCCGTCGATGACGAGGCACCTCGCTCGCTGCTTCACAAAACGGAATCTTTCCTATTCAACCCTCCTCCTCCCCCTCCCCCTCCACCTCATTCACCCTCTCCTATTCCCTGTCTCCTACACTCTACCCCCACCCCTCTTTTTTTTCGATCGATAGTTCGAAGCAAGATAGAAATACATGTACGATGTCACTCATACGCGCGCGCGCGCGTTTTTTTTTCTAAACAATCGATAATAATTAGATATAATAACTCGTAGAAATTGTTTTAACGTTTATTGTATCTTTTATCAAAAAAAAATGTTCCGTCACTTTTGTAAAACGAGTTCGACTATAGAAAAAAAAAAAGAATGGAAAGAAAAGAAGACAAAAAAGGCAAGAAACAAAGGTTTAAACAAACAGAAAATAGTTTCAAAGGATCTTCCATTCAACTAGTCGTAATAAAAGAATTTTCTTCTGCGTAGTATTTTCCTGACATTTTGAGTGAGTCCTTCTCTTTTTCTCTCGAAGTTTTTACGAGCTCGCATAATGCTGTCACGTATGTCAGCTACTGTTTCGGGTTAATGTTGAGAATGACGCTTTTTGGTTAAATCGCACCCACGCGCTCGTACATACGCGTACACAACATTACACTCACACACACACACATACAAACACGTTCTCGATATCGACCAGTCGCGCTTCTCTAAAACCATGCAAACGTTTCTCGTAAATCAACCGATGGGTACAACGAGAAAGAGAGATAAGGAGCATTCCTACTATTTTTATCAATCGCGAACGTAATTTTGTCATATAACACCTACATATATCATATGTTTTTGGACCCGTCATATATTTTATCAGTTACCCGTATAAAGTTGTCCCCGGTTATTTCCATAAAAATTTTTATAAAGAATATTTTTCAATACCGTTTATCAAGAGAAAAAAAGAATACGATTTTATGAAAAAGTTAGAAAGAAAGGTGTCATAAATTGGAAGACCCACCTTTCTTTATTGTTCGTTCTTATACAGTTTTCTAATTTAGCACGCATTCATAGCTTAAGTGTATATGCGTAACAGTTGTGAGAGAATAAGAAAATATAAGAATAAAAATTGTAAAAAGTTAATTAATATTTTGTAGAGAATTTTTTTTTTTCTTACAATTTACATTTAATATTTTCGGCAACGAACATTAGGATCGTATCGCGATTTGAAATTTACTCGAGTAATATTTTCCTGAAAGCAATTTCACTAGCCCTTTATACTGTCAATCCCATTATTTATAGAAACGAGCGAAGAAAGTTCCTCGTACTTTCTCGACGTCGTATAAAATATAATACAATGGACCTCAATGTTGATCCAAATATCGAACATTTTTCCTCGTATCTTCACGTATCACGTTGAAATATCATCTCCCTTTATTTTTATAGTTATTTTAGTTGTTTATATTATGGGGAAACAAGAAGACGAGTTAGAGAGGATAATAATAAGATAAACGGTGCGAATGTTCGCTCGACGTCTGTCTAATTCGTATTGCCATAAGATATTGTAGCACACTCATTTACAGCTATTCAAATCCCGTTACGGGGCATAATTCATATCCGAATTGGAAGATTAATCATAGATGCGCAAATACTTGAAATAGGAATATACACCTTCTCTATCTCTCTCACTCTGACGTGCTTTGTCTATCCGTCTGTCTCTTTTACTTCAATGAAAACCTCATATTCTGGTGCCATTCACACAAGACGCTTAGCATACTCCTCCTTTAGAGGTAATTCAAATAATGGTGATATCGATATCGCTCCAAATTCTTGAACACCCTCAAGCAGGAGGAAATTTCTTGAAGTTCCTTGAATGACGTTGAGACGTCAGAAGACAAGAACATTAAAGAAATTCAATGACATCTAACCAAAGTATCCAAGATCATAACTCTTCCATAAAGACAAGATAAGAAAACCGCTGCGTCAGAAGGAAAAGATTTCTCGTCGTGAAATAGGAAGAGAGAAAAAGAAAAAGAAAAAAAAGAGAAAAAAAAGAAAGAGAACTCGAAGCTTATTCTTTCATCCTTTTAACTTTACTTTTACGAAGAAATATTTTCTCCAAAGAAAAATATTCAAATTGTTTCAACAAAGAAGTGTATATTTTTATAAAATTGAATAAATACAGTAAACCGTAGAATTACAAAGATTGAAGAGAGAACTCATATTGTAATCGATCGTTGAGAATATTCGCGTGTATAAACTATCTATAATATTTTGATTAATACTTCCCTTATTTCGTTCTAGGTCTCGCAGATATTAAAAGCATTTCTTGAATATTTCATATCGTGTAGCGAGTGCATCGTTTGGAGTCTGCATATTTTTAATTCCTTGAAATACGCTTAAAAATCGATCTTTTTCTTCACCTTTATCTAGATATTAAAGATCTTGAAATAATAACAATCCATTGATTTTCAATATATCTCACTTCTCGAAGATTGGCAAAACAACGAGATATTCGATAAACGACCGTATTCATTAAAAGAGAAATGAAATACTAAAATTAAAAGGAACGTTTTCTTTCCGCGTAACATATAGAGAATTCTTTTATTATTGGACCCTACTTCGATCTGCTATTTCATTATCCGACGATTGACGTCATTCAACTTGTTAAAGCATAATTACCAAGCTTTTGAAATTGACGATTAATCATAAGTGCCCGATCGTCATAGGGCAGCAGAAAAAGAAATGGTTCCTTCGAACTTATAGTTCGAGTAGGCTCTTTCGATAAACAATGTGGAAAAAATGAAAATCAGGGCAAGGAAGATCGAGATCGACAAAGTAAAAAGGGCTGACCCTGTTATTTATTCCTTGACAAACTCTTCGAAGAAGAACTTAGGCGAGGAAGCGTTTCATTTAAATAATTTCATGCGCGAGTACGCTTCACCCTCGTGACTCGAAAAGTACCAAGGGATGGACAGAGAGAAAGAGAGAGAGAGAGAGAGAGAGAGAAAGAATTCCTTGGTAGAGTAAAAGCAGAGCGTGTTCGTTTGACATTCATTTAGTGCATGGAGTAGTAAGCGACAGCCATTTAGGCTTTGGCTTTCGTGGAATCCCTTTCTGTTCCCTGTATTTCTCTTTCTCTTTCTCTTCCTTCTTTCGAGAAAGGGCAAAAGGTTAATCGTCGGAAAATGAGCTGACGGTTCTTCTCCTATTTTTTACTCCAACTGGCATTGTAAAATTATAATCACGTTTAACATGTTCCTCTTTCTTATTCTTTAATCACGTTCAGGCTGTAAGAAACGAGATACAGAAGAGACTACCCAAGGAATGGTCCGAAGAGGAGATCGCTCAGCTCACGGAACTTTGGGAACAGCTGAGAGAAGATGAAGGTAGTTACGACCTTTCCTTTTCTAACTTCTACTTTTTACCTTCTTTCTTTATCTCGTGTTTATGACTTTAATCTATCTCAAGCTTTTCTTCATATTACCGACTCCTCTCTTCGATCATTTTCTGCCAACTTTGTTCTTTTTGTATTTCTCTTTCTTTTTTCTTCTTTTCCTTTTTCTTTTTCTTTTTCTTTTTACTTTACTATACAGTATATCTCTATCTATCTATCTATCAAGAAAACTATTTGATGAAAAAATAATTAAATTGTTTACAAAGCTTTTATAAACAATTAATATTTAAGCTTTGTATTAATTTAACTCACGTCTATCGACAGATCCAGTGGAACTTATTTTCAACGGGTTGAAAATAAAACGAACAAAACCGAAGATCAAAGAAAAGCTTTTAGAATTAGGACTAGCCAAGGATCCGAAAGAGCTTTATAAAAAACGATCTAAAAAAAGCAATCACGGTGAGTTATCCTCTCTTATCCAAAGTGGCCTCCTGTTTCCTAACCCATCCCATTCCATTCGCATCTATCTTTTTTACCATACTCGAAGAAATTCAACAGCGTGAATCCGATCGGTTAACGTGATCGTCGAAGACCATGTATATACGAGAGTAAAAGAAAGAAATCTACTCCCTTACACGTGAACGTACAAAAGAGCAAAGGTCCATTTTTAGCGAGATCAGTTTCTTCTGACGTTTACCCTTATCCGAAAAAAAAGCCTATTACCGATATTACAAGCGGTGAACAAGCTTCCTACAATTCCTTCTTCTCCATTTTTCATAGTCATCGACCCATGTCATGTATAAGTGTAACAAAAAATGTACATATATGTAAAAACTAATCTTAGATCAATATTTAAAAAAATGATTATGAGTCTCACTCAGGCGATAAAACTGAATAGGAGATAAATAATTCAATCATTTTCCTGATCGAAATTTACAACGTGAACTTATTTAAATCATTTCATCCATTTAATTGAAAGTATTCAATTTTTCTCAATACATGCGTATTGCCTATATCTCTTTTATTTTCCATTCGTAATTATTTCTCTAATTTCTTCTTTCATTCGAATCCCGTTATTAATTAGCATATTTTTTTACACTCGATGTATCGTATATATATATCTTATTCTATTAATATGTTTGAAATGGAAATGAAAATATATCTCTGATGTTCTTCAGATTCAATACGACGTGATCGTCAGAAAATCGAAGGATCAATTAATTATCAAGCATATCGTTTTTTTCTCTTTCTCTCTCTCTCTTACTCTCCATTTTTTTGATCATACATGCATACATATATCGAAAGATTCGCGGTTCGATCATTTTAATATCCTGCAAAATTTTCTCCCTTTCTCTCTCTCTCTACCATTCGAAACGAATCTCCTTGTTCGTTGCATTATACATATCTCTGAGGGAAATATTTTATGAAACGATAAAATATTTCATCAGCGAATACATACAAATCTTCCGCGAATTTCATAATGAATAAAGATTTTTATAATTACAACAATTTTTATCAATATCGATTGGATATGTCTCATTCGATGTACGTACTATCCATTGATAATCGTAACAAAACTTATTCGGTTTCCAATTTCGGATATTTTTGTGTTTTAAAGCTTTCAACGAGATTATTCTTGATACGAGGCCCGTTTACTATCTCGTTACGTATTCATCGATTTTTTTCATTTTATCTTCCTGAGCGCGACTTTCTCCTATTATATATAATCCACAAATTTTGCGGTAGAAATATCACGAAATTAAAATTCACCGTGCACTCCTTGTCGCAATTATACCCTCGTCCTGCGTTCTTATCCGCTCCATGGACTGCAGCTGCGAAATTCTCCTCTCCCTCTTCCTCTCTCTCTCTCTCTCTCTCTCTCTTTCTTTTTTTTTCTTCCTTCCTTTTAACGTAACTTTCTAGGAAGATTCATCCCCTTCTCTGGAAAGCTCGTTGTTTCATTTGTAGACTCGGCAGGCATCTTTATCTACTTTTCCAACGAACATCTACATAGAAGCACTTTCGCGTATTCATTACTTTTCATTTGTTTTATTTTACCGACTTGTTGTTTGATTATTTTCTATTTAGCGATTGAGAACTCATCGATAATAACCTTCGTTACATTCTCTCACTTTTAACATTCACCAAACAAATCTTATAAATACTTCCGAATATAAGTAATTTAATTTAACAAATATGACGAGGAGATATCGATTATTTGAAGTATTACACACTCATTTAGTTTTTTTTTTTTCTTTTTCTAACTTTTGATACGTCGAATATGTACAAATATATAGAATTTTTCAAAATACATAGGCATAATGTCAGAAGTGGTTTTAGTACACTCAGATAAAGAAAAAAGTTTATTTAATCATATGCTCGATATTTCACTATGACGCAACCCTAAAGTTATGGTTATATATTTTGAAACAGGTTGTACATATATACACTATACGAATTTGTTGACACCTTGTATCACATCGTACACACGTGTAACACTTTGTCATTTTTATTTTACCCTCAGGATATGGACAATTTTGAAACGAAGAGAAAGAGAGAAAGGGAGAGATTTGGCAGCTCGATAAACATGTCTCTCGTTTCATCGTTTAACATTCGACTATTTCAACAATAAAACACACGTAACGATACATGTTCGACTTTAAAACGAGTTTATCTCTACGTCCGATTCGATATTCACGTTATATACGTATGTACGTTGTCGGCTTTTTAACTGTTTTAAATATCAGACCCTAGTGACGAAATAACATTTGTTTTTCCCTACCGTCACGTCTTCTCTTTTGGTAAAAGCTCGAAGTTCATGTTAGAATCTTCGCGGAATACAAATCTTGTTATTTAATATCGAAGAACAAACGCGCATTCCTACTGCATTTTTCCTATCTCTCTCTCTCTCTCTCTCTTTCTTTCTATTCCTCTGCAACCAATAACGTTCTTTCTTTCCAGCTTTCCATTACGGCACTACATACAAGGAATTTCATATTTATCGTGGATATTGTTTTTCCTTCTCTTACCTTATTTGTATTCAATGCATTGCAATGGATCGTATCGTAGATATAAGACCAAGAGATGAAGTGTAACAGACAGCTTTGTCTCGTATCGAATGGAAAACGTTAAAACATTTTGTAGAACGTATCGAGTGGGTATCATAATTGTTCAATACACACCCACACATACGCGCGCGCGGATATATACGTACACACAATCGATCTCGATAACGGAAACACGCGAGAATGAAAGTGTCATTCTGTCCAGAGTTGATGGCTTCTATCCGAGATAGGCAATTTGGAAAACTTCATTAACAATTCGAGGATACAAAATACAGTAATTCGCCAAACTTAATATGCATCTGCATTGAAAAATATTTTTTTTCTTTCTTTTTGTTAATTAACGAGTTCATTATTTTCATTATTAAGAATATAATATTATAAAGATTATTACTCAATAGCATGAAATAGCTAAATTTTAAGGATTTCAGCTTTGGTTAATATCTTTATCATATGAAATTAAGCGGAAAGTTAATATTTATCTAAAGTAATAAATCATGCACGCAACATAATTGAGAAATACATATGCAACATATGCAGATTAAAATATATACATGTCTCTAATCTTATTAAACGATTCAAACGAGTAGCAACAAACTTAACTATTCTATTTACCATCCAAATATACGTGGTCAAATAATTTTAATCATTTAATTGAAATTCTATTTATGTACTTTAACACCGAACGAAAGAAAACTATCTATAGAAGGTTGAAAAACGATAGAAGCAAGTCGTGCGTTTTAGGATTCGCCAATGAACAGAGGCTAGTAACTTGAAAAAGGTTTTATATCGTTTTTCCACGTGTTGTTGTGCGCAAAGGAAAATCGTCGTGGGAAACACAGTCTGGCGGTAATTCTGACGACGAGGATCGGGACTCCGAGGAAGAAAGTAGAAAATCCTCGGGGCGTAACGACGTGGCTCAAAATAAACCAACGAATAAGAGAAAGACGACAACGACGACGACGACGAAGACGAAAGCAGGAAGGTCGAGAAGGAAGAAAGACCAGAAGACGTTTCTTTATACGGATGCACAATTATCTGGACTCTTGAAGAACATCATCGAAGGAAGTAAGTAAAGTTCTATTTTTATCTTTCTCTCTTTTTTCTTCATTTTGTTTTTCTCCATGTTGTTACTCTTTCTTACTCTTACTCTTTGCCATACTTTCTCTATCTTTTTCTTACTCTCTTTGATTTTCTATTTATCTCTCTCATTCACTCGGTGATTTACGATGTATCAGAAAAAATAGAAAGAGAAGGAAAGAAGTCACCGTCGAAAGGTTGCAAGACTAAAGCTTCGTTCTCGCGAGTAGGACAAATGTCTTCTCGTCGTAGAACCAACTAAGAGGGTTGGTTGGGTTGCAAAAGGGGGAAAGGACTCTCGGGAGGAATCTTTGCCACGGAAGGCATTACCACCAACGTGCTATCACTAGGGTATAGAACCAATGGAGAAATAAAAAAGCAAAATAATGGCTTGTCCCTGTGAAATACCTACTCGGTGTGCAAATGTGGGACACGTCAGAAGTAATCCCATCGTCCTTTTCTCTCGTAGACTAGTTCGAAAGCTGCTGTCGTTAGAAAACGACCCTCCTTTATTTCCCGGCGTATCGATGACGATATCTCGTGCTTTTTGCAGAGCTTCCTCGGTACTTTAACATCGCTTCGTCTTCGGAAGGAACGGTAAAGGAATGGTGACAACGCTGATCGAAACCTTTGCACTTTTTATCCTCTCCCGTTTTTTTGTCTCTTTTTATTGTTTTTTTTTTTACTCGTTCTAGAAGTTGGTACGCGTGGTAGATAGGGGACGAATGATTTATATTGGAAACGCACTAATGTCCTTCTCGAAAGTTTCTCGAATAAAACAGACAATTTTGATTCCTCCTCACGTTTAATTTGACGTTAGGTTTTTTTATCTTCTTTATTTTTTCCCTTTGTTACTTTTTATCAGTTTTATCGCAAAAGTATCCGTCATTTCTCTTAGCACGATCGAGTTCATTGATAAGTTCGTTTCTACCACTTCGAACTTTGGTAACTATTGCACCGAGTGGAACAATAAAGGGTCCGACAGCAATTTATTCTCCCTCATATTTCACTTACGATAGAGTGAACTTAACGTTTTACCGAGTGTATGTCCTACGTTCCGGTTGGATATGATAACTCGTAATAATATTCGGCGGAAACTGCAGGATAAGCTTAATAGTCGATTTGTAATAGGGGAGTGGTGGGGGAGGGAGTCACATGTAAAAGAAATTGATAAAAATTTTTCGTCATAAATCAGGTATGACGGAACCATTGGAATGGATCAAGGAATCCTTGGAGGATGCTCTCGATGATCGCAACGAGGAAAGCACCGAAGGAATCCCATTGGTGCCGTTGACAGAAAGTTCATCAAATGCGATAGATTCTATAAATTTTCAAAAATTACTTCGCGCTATGGGCATGCAACCACCTATGAACGAACAGGAAATCTATTGGCGAATTCCAGCGAACATGCTCAATTCTACCATACGAAAACGATGTAAGCTTATTGCTGATGGTTTGGAAGGAAAATTCATCGTCGAAGGTAATTCACAATTATTTAGTTTTGATTAATCGATCTCAGGAGATCTCGAGGGTCCACCGAATCCAAGTTACTCTGCATATTCGTACAATGAAATTGTCTTTATTACAAATATTCTGAAATCTCATATTAAATTTTATGTAAAATTGATTTAAAAAATATATACTTCTTGTTCCTGGTTTTAGAAGTCCCGTCTAAGAAAAATATCAACGACGATATTAGAAATAATTCGAGCGACGAAAGTGACGACGATATCGACGTATTGGAGTCTATAAAAAAATTCTTTACAAAAAAGGGTAAGTTCGATTATATGTATACAATTTATTAAACGAACAACTAAAATCATTGTAAAATTGTTGTTATTTCGTAGATCGTTTATTAGAATCTTTAGCATCAACCTCGCGAGTAGTAGATGTACCCTTAGATTCGGATAAATCTGAAAAGTCGACTAAACGTGATGTGCAAGAAACTGCCGACACCATCGAAATAAAGGAAGTGGAAAATGGGAAGAATCAGGAAGGTACGTAGAGTAATTTCCAAGCAATAGGTAGGTACGATTTGCTGGCGCTTCGTTACGTGTAGAAAACGAGAAAATGGTAGTTTCCTGCCCTCTGTTATTGCTGATGCCAAGCTATTAGATTATTTGGGATTTACCAACGGACGAAACGTTTATTGAGCATGCCAGAGGAGGAAGGCTAACGTTCTTTAATACAGTTTTATGTTACAAGACTCGTCGTTTGTTCGAGCAATTTCGATTTCAGTCTATAGTCCTGTAGTAAAACGGAAAGAAAACTTCAACTTTATCTATTTTATTTCCGACTGATTTAACAGTGCAATCTCTCGAGCGATCCATTTCGTAAAACTTATTAACGATTTCCTATTTTAAAGATAACTTTTTATTTTTCTCTCTCTTTTTTTTTTCTTTTTATAGAAGAAAATAAGAAATCCGTAATTTTAAACAGAATATCCTCCGATTCTGAAGCCTTTCACAAATTTAATGCCGAACAACTATACATTTTTTTTAAATTTAACTGATAATCCGATAATTCTATGATCGATATTTTATGCATATTTAGAAACCTTGAAGAGAATTTCTAAGCGTCGGGTTAAATTACTTTCGGATTCGTCCGAATCTGAACCAGAAATCGAAAGGAACGCGGACGAGCCAGGTATTTCACAAACTCAACATTCTTCCTCCCATTTAAATTCATAATTCCAATAAAATACATTCTTATTTTATTATAGTAGACGAAGCTAAAAGAAACCGGAGTCAAAGTTTCGACACAGAAGCTCCGTCAAGTAAGAAGCCACGTTTATTAGACAGCGATGAAGATTCTGAAACTTCCCAAATAAAAAATTCTAAACCCACAATTGCACTTGAATCCGACAACGAGGAAGATAATCAAGAAAAAAATTCAATTCACAAGTCAACAATCTCTCAAATAATCGATAGTGACGAGGAGAGTGTGACGGAAAAAACGAGAAATTTGAAGTCCACTCGAAAGATAATAAGCGACGATGAGGAGGACAATTAATAATTAAAAAAATAACCTGATCGGTGTTCCCTATTAACAACATTTTCATATTACTTTATATAATAAAACAAATATTTTGTTATTTTTTTCAAACTACATTTAATAATTTCAAGATGTCGCGTAAACTATTTTACCTGCTGAACAAGATAAAATAGATTCCTGTAGAAAATCTTGATTTCAGAATTGTTTGCTCTAACTTATTTTCTTTACCCGACACAACTTCAGCACTATTTCCTGGAAGAGTACGAATTACGATGTCCCTTTCGCGTTGGCATTCTAGGAGAAGGAAGGAACGATCGTTTATACCCGGGGTACACTTCAAAGTGCCAAGAAAAACAGTACTCGAAAGGCGTCCACATTTCGCCAAGTAACGACGAAGAGAACATGCGAGCATAGTAGTGGCGCTGTGATCGTATGCAGATGTATAGGAAACCTTTTATAGAACTGGATAGGTAGCTTACTATAGAAGTTATCATGGTGGTATATAAGAGGGGTGTGAGGAAAGGGCAGTCGTTTACTTCCTCGCTCTCATGTTACCCGAGTAACCGATTGGCCAATGTGGATGACTTTACGTCTTTTGATGGGCAGGTGAGGAGTCTTGGCGAGTGTCAACGATACATATGCGTATATCGGTACGTGATCGTATTCTAGAAACCATCGACTTGCCGTGGCTTTACCTTTGAGTTAGAAAATAGCATTCGTTTGGGAAACGCTTCCGTCGACGGTATCGTCGCCGTGAATACAACTTTGACGTCGACGCCGACGTCCGTGTGGGACCAAAGCGTAATATCGCCGTAAGGACTCCGCGAGTCGCGGATACACGACCAGGCAATCATACTTCAGCTAGAATCCCGGAATTCAGCTTGCTTATTCACATATCTCATTCACAGTCTCATATTTCTTCAAATGGAAAATACCAATTCCTCATCGGTCACGATATTTTACTTTTTTTTTTTTTTTTAAATTATTTTAACATGAAATTTATATTATAGATTTCATCCACCTTTTTTCGCTTATACACATATAAGTATTTACTACTAAATTTATTTTTTAAATAAAATAATTATTTTTATACGCAATAAGATAAACAATAAAATATTATCCCATTCTTATATATAATTAATATTATTATTATTATAGAAAAAATGTATAAACGTCGTGATGATAATAGTTGAAATATAAATTTTATAAATAAAAAAAAAAAAAAAAATAATACTCTTGAACGTAGCACGCTATGTTCTCTCGTGCCGAGTATACTCCTTTGAAGGTAAACGCTAGAAAACGATAGTATCGAACGATGAAACTTCCCGGAAGGACGGACGACCACGTGCATTCTAATATCAACTTCCACTTAGTGGGAATGCATGATAGGTAAGGAGATCGATTGTCGTTACGAGACGAGTCCACTCGCGGATTTAAACGTCGAGACGCGTATCCGAAGTAACGAGCTATCATCCGTTCAAGTTGGTAGGCTTTTACTTTCATGTTATTCGTGCGCTCCTGTTATAAGCGCGGGCTTCTTATACGGTTGTAGGTGGATGTCATCCTCTCTCTTTCTCCCTACTCCTTTTATCACAGTTCTCTTTGCTTTCAAGGTCGTCACGCGCGCCTTCCTAAGTCTCGTGCGCATACGCGTTCTTATAGAACGAAACTTTACATTAGAATTGAACGCACGAGAAAAATATTTTTTATCATAAAAATTATATATAAACATTATAAATATACTTTAATAATTATATTGCGATATTATTATTTTTAGGATGAGTCTTAAGATTAAAGAATATTATACATATATGTATGTGATTAGAATAATCCTTTAAATTGCATTTTCGTGTTTATTAAAATTGTCAATGTATATTTTTAAATATCATAATTAACTGAAAAGAAATTAATTAATTATTTATGGATGCTTATTAATACTTACTAAATGATATAACTTGCATAAATATCGGTTAGGTTTTAGTCAAATTATTTTCTTTAAAGTTATTTCAGATATTGATAGTTATATTTAAAAAATTGTCCTTTTCTTTAACAACGAATTTAATTTTTGACTGATCAGAGAGCAGAAGCTATAGCATTATTATTTTATTATTTTTACGATAAATAGAAATATTATATGCAAACGATAAGAACGTTATTCTTATAAAATTAATGTCACGTTGCTGAGTCGTGACTTCGGATTCGAGTGGTGTTTACATGCGCGCCAACTGCGCGAGTCATCTGCGGGTTGTCGTATTTTTATCAGGAGCTCATGTATTTCAGTATGTTACTCTACGCGACTGCTTGATTCAATATATATATATAATACGGTGAGCGTAAAAATGGCGAATGGAGGAAAAGATTTCTCTGTACAAATGTCTTTAAATAGCTGATTACTTTATGTGTTAATGCAATTTATTTTTTATTTATAATAAAAAAACTAAAATCTCAAAGATATTAATTATCAGAAAATTGTCGAAGTATTACTCCATTCGAAACTGCTAAAGTCATTATCTGAAAAAGATAAATAAATGAATAATATTATTATCTCTTGTTATATTTTACGAAATCATATTAATTATAATCGAATTTAATTACAGATTTAAATGTTTCGAGAGATAATACGTAAAATGGACCACCAGTCATTATAATAGGCTTCTGAGAACGCAGTAATAAAAATAGTATCAAATGCTTCACTTTATTAGTTAATAATTCCTTCCTTTCTTTCGTGTTTTCATTTTTATCGTATATATTTCGTTCCCATTCACAAGCGAATACAGCATCGGAAATTTGTAAGCTCTAAAGACATTTGAAATAACTTTACAAAACTTAATCTATTTTTATCAGTTTTATGAATACCAACCAAAGTATAAATTTGAGTTGAGTAAAAGCAAAAGATATATAATTGCACTGACAATGCAAAAAAGTATTCTATTAATCTAATTAATTTCATTAAATTTTCTGAATCCATCTAGAAATTAAAAATCATTCAAATAAATTATTTTCGACGTTAGTAAATGATGTTTTATATTTTTAATGTTATGAATAATTTTTCAAATATCTTTCTACCTTAAATTGTATCATAGACATTTCAACGGATAATAAGCAAATGATGATTATATTTTCTATGCATTGTATAAACATTGGTAAACTCCCCAAAGCTTCCAAACTCTCCGATATTCTATAAAAATAAATCTGATGTATCGTTAATACTCAAACGTATTAAAAACATTTACACAATTAAAATATACAAACTTGGCTTACTTCAACACAGCTCTATGATGATCAACGCAACAACGTAATTTCATTTCGAATTCTTCGATTGTTCTACAAATAGATATTCTTCTCTCTTAAATGTAACAATAAAGGATTCTTATATAAAATAGCTAGCTTATGTAATTAATTAGAATCAATATTACCTTGCACCAACGATTGAATTCATATCGATCAATGATAAGGACAGGCATCGTAATTGTCCATAAATTACCATTAAAATACAAACGTATAAAATATCATAACTAGCAACACCAACACCCGAAGTTAATCCACCGACTAATTGAATAATAAACGAACAAGTATAACCCGTAACAGTTTCAATACTCCACGGTTGCCTCGTTATGAATGGTAACAAAATGGCATTGCTATTATTTGTATTGGAAGTTTTCATTTGACCTTTAAAATTTAGTAGAAGTGCATTAAAACACCAATGACATACCCCATATACGCAAAACGTTGTCCAAGAATATAACAAGATCCTTGAATCTTTGTACACAGTTTCCATTTCTATTTTAGAAAATGCGCATTCTAAAAAAAAAATTATTTATTTTAATCTTTTATATAATTTTTTAATTTATTAATTATTTAGAAAAATAAATTTGTATTCTTTACCTCTCTCTCCCTTCCCAGTTTCAATTTTCTTCGAAAGCAAATAACACCGATTTAAATCATCAAGAAGTCTACTAATTTCTTTGCTTTTAATTATACAATAAGTCCATTTAATAAAACCGGTTATGTGAAGACCCAAAGGATTGATACTACTCGAAATTTGTTCAATATCGGAATGAAAGGAAACCATAGAAATTTCAGAGACGACAACGATAAAATTAACGAAGAGAGAAATTGCTACCGTGATGTTTAATAAAAATAATTTTGACATAGAAAATGTATTCGCTTGTCGTAAAATTCTGAGATACTTCAGATACGTTATTAAATGTTGAATATAATTTTCGAAAGGTACGAAAGGTTCTAAGGGTTCTATTTCCTTGACTTTCATTTTTCAGATCGTAGAAAAATTATTTCCTATAAGTAAAATAGATCGAATATATTAGAATATAACTCTTTTGCCGAGTATATGGAGAAACACAGTGCGGCGCGTACACATACACACACATACACATATTGAACAGTTTGCAATACTCTAAAGTAAAATATTCCATTCACGTAGAGTACTCAAGCGAAAGTTAGCCTCTTGTATCGCATATTCCCCGGACACATATACACCGAACAATTACGTACGTTACGTCAGCGACTTGAAAATCATGTATACGTATACGCAGCAAGTCGTCTTCGTTTGCATTTGCCATTGTCTAACAAAAGCGACAGAGAAATCGCGACAAATTTTGATAAGCTTTATCTATTGCAACACAACGACGTGAACAACGATATTTAAACATTCTTATCACTATTTTGTATTATCTACTAGTTATCTATCGTAAGACAGATACTACATACTTATCTCTTTTTTTAATTTACATAATCTTTCCACGTATATATTCGTTTAAAAATTATATACAAAAGTATTAATAAATTATAAGAATGTGTGTTTTTTTCAAAACGACAATTACAATTAAAATCGTAGATATTAAAATTCACGTAAAACAAAAGTTATTATATTTCTTACCGGATTTGAATAAATAGTACCTATCTAGCTTGTCATCACTGGCTTAGAACTATCACACACAACACGTATAATTCGAGAAACAATGCTCGAGGAAACGTGATAGTCGATCTTTGTCTCGATGTTATCGTGATTTATCTATAAGATAATTATGGTCTAAACCATCTGTCATTAAACGTCAGTAGTTATTTGAAATGAAAATTACTTGGTAGATAAAAGAGAAGGAGATAGAGGGGCGTGGTCAACGTATGCACCAAATGTCCTCTTCAATTAAATTTGCGGAAGAAACTTTTAATAAGTATCTACCTCTCTCCTTTTCTCTTTCTCTCTTCCTCTCTCCTTCTCTTTCTCTCTCTCTTTTTCTTGATGGTAAACTTCTTGGACGTCTTTGAAGTCCAATATCGTTTCATACATTTTCACAGAGATCGGCGCAAAACTTTATATCCAATTACGTTCTTTGCAAGACACCGCACCAAACTTCTCACTATCTCTATCTCTCTTTCAATCTCCTTTCTCTCTCCTTTCTCTCTCCCTCTCTCTACGTATTAGTCCGAAGACATTGCGGACTACTCGCAACATTTCTAAAACTTTCCTCCTCTTGGCAACATTGAAACTCGAATTGAACGAAGCCAGAAGGTACGATCCTGCTGTTTACTTCTTTTTTCTCCTTCTTGTAATAAAATTGAGATTTTTTTGTCCTTTTATCAATGTGATTTTATAGCGGATACGGTAACGTAAATTTTAGTACGGAAATAGGGAAGAAAAAAAGTAATTTTCTAAGTTTCTCTCTCAGCGTTAGTTAAATCAATAAGTAATTGAAAATTTGTATTCAATTATTTTCAGGTGAGCTTTATAATGTAATTTATCGTTAATATAAAATTAAATTTTTAGATAGAAACCTATTCTTATATATTTTTTAGTTGCACGTTAAAATTTGTTATTTATTTTATTGAAGTCACCGCACTCGTTAGTTTAAAAAAATTTAAAGAAATTTCGCCGATCTCATTGCATTTAAGAGCCGTTCAGTGTAAACACGATGATCTATCAGCGTTCGTTCTAACAAAAAACGTATTTTAATAAAGCATCATTATCTTTACGTAGGTTATTTTCAAGTGTACCGAAAATTCTCTACCCGTACGATATTTACCGCTGAATCTTAAACATCGAACATCGTGAAGACGAAATGATTTTCATTGAAAATCGTAATATTTATTGGTGTAACAGATTGAATCCTCTGACGGCTTCATTAATAAAATGTAAGTACTTAAATTATTTTAATAATTATATTATATAACAATTTTGTAAACGTGTAATAATGTACATTACTCAAATTGTGAAGTTGACAAACGATATTTTTAAGATAAGAATATCATTGAATTCGGATAATATTACTTGAAATCATCATCATCATCATCATCATCATGGAGAACATTTATTTTTATTAACATTCTATTAACATCCTTGTTAAAAATTTAATATCGTAAATGTAGTAGGGAGAACGAATTCGTTGAGAGTTTCATAACTTCGTATATATATAACACAGCTAAAGTACACGCACAGATACACCTATACACGAGGACGTGGTCTTTCACGTTGAAGTTTCTACACAACTAAAGAGGACCAAGTTTTCGGGAGTATCGAACGAATCTCTACCATTTCTCTCGGTGGCCCCTTCGTTCTACATCCTTCTTCTCCCCCTTCACCATCCCCCAGCATCCAACCTGGTCCCGGAGAACTCTACTTTAGTGATGGTGTCCTGTCGCTCGTGTTGTCCAACGCGTTGCCAAAATTCACTGATGATTGATGGCCATTAAAGAGCGGGCCAACCTTATTCCAAACCTTCGTAAAAGCCAGTTGAGACTTACACATGATCAAAATGCTTGGACTCTAATTACGTTTCGAGATCTCTTTTTCTAATACAAAGTCAAGAACGTAGCTATGAAACAGTGGTACCCTAGCCTTCGTGACAAATTTTGATAAAGCAAATTTTCAAGGGAAAAAAATCCGCGAACTAAATTAATTTTATAAATGTTGTTTAATGTTGTCACGCTTATTTTGATGTATTATTTAATAATGCGTTATTTATTAGAAAAATTATGGATAATTATTTAAGTATTTTTCTATAACATAGAAAGGAAAAGTTGAAATATTTTTGCATCTTATGGTGGGATTTTATTTTAAGAATGTTTATTCGAATATTTGTATCAATATTTCCTTTTGTTTTGTTCTGAAATAGATTGTTTTAAATTATTTTCTTTTTAAATTACTCTAATGCATTAGTACGTATGCTTTATATATATATATATATATTTATGGTGATTCCTTTGAAAATACATAAAAAAATTTCTTCATATATTCTGATATGGGTTTCATTTTAAAATAAATAAATAAATCTCGTAATAATATGGTCGATATTAAATTATCGTATTATAAAAATATTTCATTTTTATTTCAGAATAAATTAAATACAGAGGTATAATTCTCTTTTTTAGTATTATTCGTGTATTTCTCTGAACGGTCATATATACTCCAATGTTGAAACCGTTTTTCTATCATTACTAGTAAGCTACGAAGGGAGTGTAGGGTGAGGAGAGGATGGAAGCTACTGTAGGGGGAGGTAGCAAGCGAGTCGATAGAAAAGGTCAAAGGTTTCAGGTGTGTTTGCATTTCGCCCACGGCTGCTACAGGTGCAGCCTCTTCCGCGGCTCTGCTCGCCGTTGCAACAGCAACATGTATAACTCTTTATTAACAACAATTAACATTTATCCATTGTTCATACGGGAATAGTTTTCGCTGGACACGAAACCTTGTAATTAATTGTCAGACTCATAGGAGAAACGATACGACATCGCAAGAACGAACCAGTTATACGGGAACCCATAAGTTCTTGCCCGAAGTATCATCCCATCATCTTTATAAACAAATATTTTATTTAAATGTTTTATAAGCTATGAAGATTTTTTAGAACAATTTTGTGATGTCTTTTGGTCAAAAATTATCCGAAAATAGATTTCAAAACTAAATAGATTTTATTTTTAAATTATTTTTTTTAAAGTAATCTCTGAACTTTTAAGGACAAAAAAATAAGTATAATATATTGATTAAATAAATATTTATAGCATTATGAATTTTACAAAATGCATATATTATTTTTTTATAGAAATATATGATAAAAAAATGTTTATAACGTTCCTTGGTATTGACGAAGAATATTTAACTATGACTAACTTCGCTTAGCTTACAATTAAACAAAATTATTCGATCTCAGAAGTGTCAGAATATTTCTAGGAGACATACTGTATTTATTTATTATATATTTATTATTATGTAATTTCTTTTTTTCTTTATTTGAAAAAATTGATAAATAACTAATAAGATTATTTAATTTCAATATCAACAAAATTCATGATAAAACATTTAATGAAATCATTTACGCTTCGTTATAAATAATAATAAAATATAAAAAAGATATATCGTTAAATTTAACAATAACGTAGGTATTTAAATATCCATAATCGATGATCCTTTTAATATATAATTACGTATTTTATTTTTCACAGACTCATTAACTCATTAGAATATTAATATCATTTATAAAGAGACTAATGTATTATATCTACACTCACCATTGTATATATTATTCATGTACATTTCATGTTATTACATCACGCCAGCCTAAAGTACTTATAATTCTCGTCGAGAATTGATTGTATGTTCTGTAATGAATAAAAAAAAAAAAAAAAAAAAAAAAAAAATTTATAAAGAGAGAGAGAGAGAGAGAGAGATGGAGAGAAAATTACCATGGAAACATTACAATACAAATTTGTAATATAACTTTTAAGAAGAATTGAACTTTTTAAAGAACCATTTTCGACATTTATTTAAATATCTATATTAATCTTTTCTAAGGGGTAAATTCTCATTTTCATTTTAACTAATTTCATATTTAAAATTATCTTTCTTCGTGATTTATTTTTTAACTATACTATTACATAATACATTCCGCATATAATTTTATTTTAAATAACATTCTGATGCACTTCTTGACTATGAGAAAATTACATTGTCAAAAAATCTCTTTTATAAAATATTCATAAGATATGCACGAATCGATTATAATAATTAGTATTTGAAATTGAACGTAAATAAGCCATATATATATATATAATTATAATTGAGGAAGGGATAATTGGGATCAAACATATTTCAGGGTCTCTCAGAAACGGCCAACGACCAACGTTCTCAAGAAACAGGCAAGCATAAAAACGAATTGTTCTTGTCGCTACTTTTATAAATGCATCGGTCGAACACGGATAGCACACAATGATACGTCTAGTAAAAGTGAAGCGAGCCAACCAACTTTATTTTCATGTTATCCCTGTAAAAAGATTTACCAGTCTCCGGTTATGTTTGATGCACCATCATTATGTTTCTGATTACGGTAGGTTAGTTGCATCGGTAACGTCACACTTTTCCCTCCTATCTCTTACGCCATTCATTTTATTCTCCTACGTCAATATCTAACGTCAAATAAACGAAAAAAACGTAGAAACGTCATTACGCGCTACGTGATTACGTCACTCTATTCGATCTTTTTTTTCTCTCTTTCTTTCTCTCTATATATATATATATATATATATCTTTGAATCAAGTATTTTTTCTCTCCGTTTAGTTCTATCTACTCATCATCTATCTTTCTTTCTCACATATACGCATATGATAACATTTATTGTAACGATAATTATTGAAAAGAATCTGAAGATGAATCTGAAAATTAAGATATTATTAATAAACGTGTCTTAAAAGAAATTGGACAGGTTGAAAAAATTTGTTAGAATGTTTAATTTAATCTCATTGAGATCAAAGACACGATTATTAATCATTTTATTTTTTGACGAGATAAACAACTAATTGACGTAAGATATTATTTTACAATACAATCGAACAAGTGAATGTGTGTATAAGAGGTTTTTAGAAACGAACATACATCTGCATTCGAAATAATCGTTCTCTGGAAACAAAATAAAATAAAAATAAAGTTTAAACAATTTTGGATTATACCGAAGGAAAACTGTAAAAATATAAAAAA